GACAACAGAACAAATGACGCTGCTGAAGACGTGCCACCTGAAGAAGCCACCGTCGAAGAAGAAACTCTACTCAGTTTTGAAAAGGGAAACGGTGAAGCTCTTGATGAAGTTACTACCACTGATGTGACTGTTGTCGACGATAGAACATTTCCTGATGAAGCAGATGAACCCCACGAGACGGAGACCAGTACGGAAGAAGATACATCCCGTAAAATTAAAAGACTTTGTTGAATTGTAATTCTGTACATTTAATTAAGTTATTGTTAATTGTTATTGGTTTAATGTAAGTGGCTATTGTTCGGGACGAACAATACTAAGGAGGGGGCAGTGTTGCGGGGCACTTCTTTCTCGAACCTTCGTGAATTGTCGGGAGATTACTAGATTGGGGGGTAGTCTGGTATATATAAGATGGTCACAACGTGACGGGACAATGTGTATAGTTAATGAGTAATTGAATGTATGCGGACAAAATATTGTTGGCCACGTGAGACGTGAATTATAGTGTTGTTATAGAGCGACTGTTGAAATTAAGTGTATCGTAAAGTTGTATTCGGAAAGAATAAACCAGTTTTATTTAAGAAAGGACTTGTGTCGCTAAAGTTTCGTCGGAACGAATTTACGGAAAATTAACTAACGACTGGAGGCGTAACAATATCAACCAGACAACTCCTCTATTGTGAGAATAACAACCTTATACCAAACATCCAAAACTCTTCTCGTAATAGAAACAAACAAAAGACCACCTAACCTGAGTAACTGAATCTATTCACAAATCATTTCACAATAATCAGGCAACTCTAGCCGCATTCTTAGATGTAAATAAAGCTTTCAACTCTGTTTGGTATAACGCCATTAGATACCGCCTCCATAACATAAAAGTGAACAACACAATTAACAGATGGATATCCAACTTCCTTAGTAACCGTACGGTCTCAGTTAACGTTAATAACACCATTTCAAAGTCCTTTAACATTATTGCTGGAGTCACTCAAGGCTCCGTCCTCTCACCTCTCCTCTACATTCTTTTTGTCAACAACGTCCCCTTCCCGGATCTAACACATACATATTTTTCACAATATGCAAACGATATTGCTGTCTGGAGCATCTAGCGAAACCCCCTAGCGGCAAATAGAGTTCAAAAATATCTCGACACTATAATAAGTTGACGTAATGACTGGAGAGTAAAACTTAATCCAATTATAATAACAGTAATTATGTTTCGACGATGCCTTAATAAACATTTCAAAAACGTTAAAAAAGTTACACTAAAATTAAATAATATTGAAATAAAATTATGCCCCTCTGCCAAGTTTCTAGGTATAACCTTCGACAGCCGCCTTACATAGGCTGAACATTTCAGAAATATTCACACATCCGTCAGTAAACGTATTGCACATCTAAGGATAATTGCAGACCAGAACATAGGTTACAAACCATCAACTATAATAAAAATCTACTCAGCCCACATACGCCCTCTAATGGAATAAGGGTGCCAAGTCACCTTCAATATGTCCAGTAGAATTAAAAACAAGCTACAACTTCAATTAGCTTCTTAAATTAGCTCTAAGACTCTCTAAATTTACCCCAACAAGTTACTT